ACTTGGGGGTATGTCAAACAAAGCCAAAAAGGTCTTAACTTGATGGTGGAAGACACCAATAGAGGGAGACAGACAAATCTTCAGGGGAGTGTCCAGAGTTTTTGTGCCACAACTGAGGAAACCCTTTCTCAGGTCGCCACCTGTCTGGCCTCAGAAGTCGGGGGCAACCGAAATAGGGTCTCCAAAGGTGATCGGAGTGAATGGGTCAGTTCATATGGGAGAACCTGGTCCTTAATGATATAATAAATCTTATAAATAAATGGAGTATAACTTTGCCAAATCAGAGTGTTGCAGGAGTGGCTTGACTTTTAGAGCATATAGTTCATTTGACAATGGGCGTTATTTTGTTTTCCCCCAAAAAAAGGATAAAAATCAAAAACATGAGTGTGCAAAGATGAGGCAAGGAGGAATATCTGTAAGGAGAAACGTCAGTAAAGTAGCACGTGCATGTTCAGGCTAGTGGAGGGGGGCCGTGTGATGAGAGGGCATTTCAGGACACAGAGAGAGAGAGAGTAAAATTCCCAGCAGTCAGGAATTGTTTAGAGCAGCACAGGAAGAGTAGGTTTTTATACCCTGCTTTTCTCTACCTAAAGGAGTCTGAAAGTGGCTTACCATCCCCTTCCCTCCCCCTCCCCGCAACAGGCACCTTGTGAGATAGGTAGGGTTCTTTTTGTAGCAGGAACTCCTTTGCATATTAGGCGACATACCCCCAGGGGTCATTTCGTAGAAAAAGAGCTAGGGGAACTTATTAGCATAACTCATTAGCATATGCCACACCCCCTGACATCACCGGAAGTGTGTCATAAGGCCACACTCCCTGACATCACCGGAAGTGTGTCATAAGGCCACACACCCCGCCCCCAACGGTCCCGGCCCCCACTGCCAGCCTTGCAGCTCCACTGCCGAGCCCTATGAGGGGCCTGGCGGTGGACCTGCAAGGCCGGCGGGAGTGCAAGGAAACCCCGCGAAGGCCCTCCCTGGCCCCAGCCAGGCAGGGGTGGGGAGAGGCAGGGAGGAAGCAACTTACCTTCCCTCTTCTCCTGCCTCCTCCTGGCTGAATGAGGGCCGGAAGCGGGGCGGCCTGAAGCAGGGGACGGGGCTTCGTCATGTTCCCCCGCGATCCCCCCCAAAATGACCTCTGCATACCCCTAATGTAGCCCATCCTCCAAGAGCTGACAGTAGCCCCTGTAAGAAGAGCTCTGTAAGCTCTTGGAGGATTGGCTACATTAGGGGTGTGTTGCCTAATATGCAAAGGAGTTCCTGCTAGGGTAGGGCTGAGTGAGAGAACCATGACTGGCCCAAGGTCACCCCGCAGGTTTCGTGTGGGGGAGTGGGGAATCAAACCCGGTTCTCCATATTTAGAGTCTGCCTCTCTTAGCCACTACACCAAACTGGAGAAGTGCCTTGAGATTGCGTCACCTCTGGACTGTTACACCACTGGTTTCTAGCCATGCCTTGTGGGCAATACGGGTGCTGTGGAGGGCAAGAGTTGAAAGACGTGAATCGGGGCCTTCCCTGGTAGCAGCTGTTGTAGGCAGTTCTGAGGGTGGGCAGGAACCTTTAATGGCCTGGGCTGTGTGGGGTGGAATGCTTTGCAACAGCGGGGGCGCTCTCTGAGTTTCCAGCATCGGGCACAGCTCGGTAGCGCAAAAACAAAAATTCGCTTTGAACGAATGGTTATCTTTCCAGCCACAGATGGTGCAGGGAGGAGAGTGCGGCGAAGATTCAGTTCCAGGATCAGAAAAGTTGGCCTTGAGCAAGGGGGGGAGGGAGCTTTCCCATCCTCGACACCCTCCTTTCTGTTTCGACCAGGGGTGAGCAACCTTTGGTAATTAGAGCCGAACTACATCTGAATTCAGAGCAAGTGATCAACAAGGAGGCAGTATAGGAAATCCCGTTTGCATAAATGGGGGGGGGGAGACAACGTCCTCTTGCTCAGAGTGAAAGAGGAGAGCGCAAAAGTGGGCTTGAAGCTCAACATCAAAAAAACTAAGATCATGGCATCCGGCCCCATCACTCCTTGGCAAATAGAAGTCGTGGAAGTAGTGACAGACTTCACGTTCCTGGGATCCCAGATCACCGCAGACTGTGACAGCAGCCATGAAATTAAAAGACACCTGCTCCTTGGGAGGAAAGCGATGGCGAACCTAAACAGCATGATGAAAAGTAGAGACATCTCCCTGCCAATAAAAGTCCGCATGGTCAAAGCAATGGTATTCCCAGTAGTCATGTATGGCTGCGAGAGTTGGACTATAAGGAAGGCCGAGCGCCGAAGAATAGATTCTTTTGAACTCTGGTGCTGGAGAAGACTCTTGAGAGTCCCTTGGACTGCAAGAAGATCAAATCAGTCAATCCTCAAAGAAATCAACCCTGACTGTTCCCTGGAAGGCCAGATAATGAAACTGAAGCTCAAATACTTTGGCCGCCCAATGAGAAGGGAGCACTCACTGGAGAAGACCCTGATGCTGGGAAAGACTGACGGTCAAAGAAGACGGGGACGGCAAAGGATGAGATGGTTAGACAGTGTCATGGATGCAATGAACATGAAGTTGAGCAAACTTCAGAGGACGGCGGAAGACAGGAAGGCCTGGCGTGATGTGGTCCATGGGGTCGCGAAGAGTCAGACTCGACTGTGCGACTGAACAACAACAACAACAAAAAGCAGTAATGAGCATGTTGGTTAATAATCCACAAGTTCTCACAGCCCAAACAGTGGTGATCATTTATTAGGAATTGGCACACTCACGGTCTCACAGTAAGTCACCAGTATATAAAGGAGCACCCTGCTTGGTGGTTGTAGTGCAGAGGTGTCCCCTACCTTTTTGAGCCTGCGGGGCACATTTGGAATCCTGACACAGGATGGTGGGCACAGAAACAAAATGGCTGCCACAAAAATGGCTGCTGGCTGAAACATGCCACTCAGAATATAATTTGGGTATGGTTGCGGTGGTTGCTCTCCACAAACTCTTTAGGCAGCCTGAAATGTAAAGACCTCTGGGTGTGAAGAATATCTGCGAGATCGCCTCTCCCTCTCTGAGCCCTGAAGGGCTTTATGATCTGCTAATCAGAATCTCCTGCTGATCCCCGGCCCCAGGGACGTCCGTCTTGCCTCAACTAGGGCCAGGGCTTTTTCGACCCTGGCCCCTACCTGGTGGAATGAGCTCCCATATGAGATCGGGGCCCTTTTTAGTTGGGGCAGTGGGTGTCCCCCTCTCTCCCAGGCCTCCCCTTCAGCAGGTCAATTTTTTTCCCTTTTTTTTTTTTCATTTTTCCATAACATACACTCCATATATTTTCCAACATTCTGGGGTTACATTAGACATTTTCTTCAATCCACGTATTGACTTTTTGCCATTTTTGCTTAAAGTTACTTTCTGTTTTTCCCGCCAAGTACATATTCAGCTTATCCATTTCTATTATTTCAAAAAGCTTTGTAATCAACTCTTCCCTAGTCGGTATTCTGTACAGTATAATAGATAACTCATTATGTTTAATCCCCTCTGGTGTGAGATTAAGTAAAAAGATTTCTGGTGTGATTGGCAAATTGATTCCTGTAATTTCTTCTATTAACTGTTTAATACTTTCCCAGAATTTTTGTATTTTCTCACACCTCCACCAGATATGAATATACGTTCCTATGTTATTCTTACACCTCCAACAATTTCCCGAGACATTAGTGTAGCATTTAAGCAATTTATCCGGTGTCCAGTGCCACCTGTATAACATTTTAATTATCAGCAGGTCAAATCTGTGTTACCATCTGGGAACGCCAATCTGGAATAGAGCTTATCTGTTGAAGCTCTGATTAGAAACACAGGGATATTGTATTTGATCTGATGTTTTTTAATTGTTTGTATATTCTATCTGATGGAGCCCGTCCTGAGCCTGCTCTGCGGGGAGGGCGGGATACAAATCTAATAAATAAATAAAGGGCTTCAAAGCCAGAGGCACCGAAGGCGGTGTTTGCACAGCGTCAGTGTGCTCTCTCTGGTGTTCAGAGATTATCTTGCTGAGTATGCGTACCTGTTCTGAGCTGACGGAAAGTGCCGTCAGGTCACAGTCGACTTGTGGTGACCTCATAGGATTTTCAAGGCAAGGGATGTTCAGAGGTGGGTCTCCATTACCTGCTTCTGCTTAGTGACCCTGGGCTTCCTTCCTTGGCGGTCTCCAATGTTCCCTCTAGGCTGAGTTAGTGTGAGCTAGCTCAGTTTTTTAGCCTCCAGCTCACACATTTTTGTCTTCGCTCAGGAAGGAGGGCTCCAGAGCAAACTAATTCATGCCGTAGCCAAATCGCTCGCTCACAACTTTAAGGCCGGTAGCTGACAAAAAAGTGGAATTTTTGCTCACAGGACTCCACCGCTTAGAGGGAACATTGGCCGTCTCCCATCCAAATACTAACCAGGGCCGACCCTGCTTAGCTTCCAATTTCCGATGGGATCAGGCTAACCTGTTGGGATATTTGGTTAATGCCGCAGAGTTTTGCCCAGTCACAGAAGTGTGATACTAAGTGCAGTAAGTAAAACTCTCAGGAAATGTATTGCGGGGGGGGAAAGGGTGAACTTACATTGATTCAAGTAGATCCAGTTCACATTCTGGTTGCCGTCAAGAGGAGAGAGAGAAGCCTAATCTAAAGAGTCCTCTCCCTATCACAAATGGCCAGCTTGTCGGGCATCACGTGTGTGGGAGGATGAGGGCATTGTCTGTACAGGAGAGACCTGCAGAGACGTGTGTCTCCATGGAAGGCCATGTGAGGGGAGGGAGAGGACAAAGTGAGAGAGAGAGAGGGGAGGGGTCAGAGGGCACCTCCCAGGTTAAGACAAAGAGAGGCATCCCAGTCAACACTTATATATGTTTAGAGTGTTTAGTGCCCCCCCCCCCCCCCCCCGCCACAGTGTCCAGGCATGCTGAGTCGCTCACTCCAACAAACCCATGGCGAGCTTTTTCTCCAGCTGCACGGAGCGACTCTTCTCCAACCCTTGTTCGTCTCTTTGTCTCGACAGGAAACCCAGAAAGGAGGAGCGGCTCAGCGAAGAGGCCGCCCAGGTGATTGCTAGCCTTCCTGACTTAACTTTCATGCATGCCAAGGTGTTGATGTTCCCGGCCACGTTAACGCCTTCAGCGAGTTGCCAAGACCAGGTAGACTAAGCGAGAGGAGGGGATCTGACCATTTCTAGTGATTCCTACTCCCC